CTTCATACATGAGTGCACTTTTGCAAGCTCCAGGTTGCAGAAAGGCTGCCTTTATGTGAGGTCCTCAGAACTCGTAGCTTTATGTATGATGACATGATTCGAGAGATAAAATAAAGACATGATGATCTCATTCCTCTCCAGTTATAACAGGTTTTGATCAAACTGCTATTTATATTACAATCTGTTCTATCAGTGAGCTTCTTCTCCTCTCTTTTTCAGATCTAAAAGGTCAAAACGCTTCTGCTGAGGAAAGAAAACGAGGAGCAGCTGTGATAAAGGTCCAGCTCAGCTTTGTTGGAATGGAACATTCCCTTGTTGCATGTGGTAGAGTTCATCCTGAGCAACTTTCCTGTTTTTGTGGAAAGAAAAAAGGTGTGCGCACACACACATATGCTCACTGGCCACTTCATTAGTTACATCTGACTAACACTGGGCAGGACTTCAGATTACTACCAGAAATGGTCCATATTGATGTAACGCTGTCACAGCTGCTACATCCATGACATCAGTGGATGAGGTGCTCTATTGCACTAAGATAAGGTGACTGTGAGGCCATCTGAGCACAGTGGTTTGAGATCCATTTTAATTTTGTGACATTGTGCATCATCCTGCTGGTTGCAGAGGTTCTGCAATGATGTAGAACACTGTGGTCAGAAATAGAGAGACATGGTCAACCACATTCTTGGGTGGGCCATGGGGTTTAAATGACAATCGGCTGATACTAAGGGGCACAAAGTGTGCCAGGAAAATAATAGACACATTTACAGCCACCTGGACCACTGCTACAATGCCGATGGATCCATTTATTGCCCACTTTTGCTCAGCCCATAGCTGTTGCCCATCCCGTTCAAGGTTCGATGTGTTCAGAGATGCTTTGTACATACTTGGGTTGTAGCGAGTGGTGATTTGAATCCCTGTTGTCTTCCTGAAGCAGTCTGACCTCCACTAACAACAAAGCCACTCACTGGATGTTTTCTTTGTTTGCAGAGCAGTCTCTGTAAACTCTAGAAATGCTTGTGTGGGAAAATCCTATCAGCTCAGCAGATTCTGAAATGCTCAAATCAGCCCACCTGGCACTAACAATGACGCCACGTTCCAAGTCACACAAATGAACTTTCCTCCAAATGTTTATGCTCATGTTGAACTTGTGTTCAAAGTGTGTTAACAAGCAGCTCAACAGGTGTACCTAATGAA